GGGGGGGGAGGGCGTGCAGAAGTAGATGTGTGTTGGTGAGAGCCCGGTCGAGGGAAGAAAAATTAAGGAGTCGTGTGTTCGCGTCGTCTGCAGCAGGCTGCTGGCTAGGCTGAGATGGCACGAGAGATCCCGAACAGCTGTGACGATGAGCGGGACAGTGCAGTAACAGGGACTGGACAGTTCCTCTTATGTGTCGGTTGTGCGTGCTGTGCTGCAAAACCGTGCGCTGGAAGCTCCACGTTCCATGTCTTGTGTGTACCATTTGGCATCGGCCTGCGTTGGCGCCCGTCCGGGGCAGAAGTGGCCAATCAACGCGCGCAGCACTCTGTGCTCTGTGAGGCTGCAAGGCATCAATCGACACTCAACACTGGCTGACTTGTTGACGATTTGCGAATATTCTACATGCAACCTGGTACTGAAAATTGTATTCGAATTCTCCTCGTCAAAGATAATAGTCCCAGGCCTGATCCAACAAGGCCTCCTTGTCAGCACCCATTTCTCTCACGATTGTGAGTCGAGCCTACTGCATGACCGTTGAATGTGCTGCTGCATACAGGTGTACATACCAGCAGCGGTCGTTGCTGACATATACAGACAGGTAGCAGCTGCAGTGCTCACTACTCGAATGTATCCGTACAGAGCAATACTAGCAGGTAATAGCGCGGCCAGGTACGATGAAAGAGCAAAGCTTGGGCAGGTGCGGATAAGAACTCGTACCTGCCTTTCTAGCCGGCGTGCAGACGACTCCCCCGCTACACCTTTTTCCAGTCCCAAGCACGAGTACGGACTAGGTCTGCAACTGATAATACATTATCCATATCTCCTCTACGGCATCTCAAGCCGAAACCCCCCCTCACGTCCGTTGTCGGTGCTCTGCTTATCTTCTGTCCCTCTTGCTCCTACCGCTTAATCCAAGGTGACTATGCTCCTCACACCTCAACCACGGTGATGTATTCTGCTTGAGCAGACGTTCTACTTGTCCATTGAAGCCTCGTGTGTATGTGTGTGTGTGTGTGTGTGTGTGTGGATGCGCTGAAACAGTGTTTTCTTCTCTGCCTACGTCGACCCCCTTCATAGCCCGTCATGCAGGCAAGGGGCGATGATGATCGAGAAGATTCGTCGCACACCGGTCACAGAGCCACAGCCTCGGCCATCTGTAGACGATGAGCCCGCCTCAACGGAGCCCGCCGAGGGTGGCTTGATGGGCTGGCTACAGGTTGCGGGGTCGTTTTCTCTTTACTTCAACCACCTGTGAGTATATCAACGTCAGGTGACCTGCGTTGTCGCTACGGATACAGATGTCCTGACGTGGCTTTGCAGTGGCATGCTGAACAGCTTCGGCGCGTTCCAGTCATACTACGAGACGGACATGCTCCGGGACTCGTCGTCGTCGGCGATATCATGGATCGGGTCCATCCAGACTTTCTGCTTCATGGCGGTGGCGGTGGTCATCGGTCCGCTGTTCGACATGGGATACTGCCGCAGCCTGATCGCGGCGGGGGCGGTGCTGGAGACGGCCGGTTTCATGATGACGAGCATCAGCACGCGGTACTGGCAGGTACTCCTCGCGCAGGGCGTGTGCGTCGGCTTGGGGACGTGCTGCCTGTCGGTACCGTCCATGGCCGTGGTGCCGCGGTACTTTGTGCGGCACCGGGCGCTGGCCATGTCGACGGCGACGGTGGGGAGCGGGCTCGGCGCGACCTTGTACCCGATCATCTTCCAGCAAGTGAAGGCGCGGGCAGGTTTCCCGTGGGCCATGAGAGCCATCGGCTTCATCTGTCTGGCACTGTGTCTGTTTGGCTTTTCGGTGCTGAGGCCGCCACAGCGTCGCCGGGGGGTGAACGCCAGCAAGCCGGCATGGCAGGCTGGCGGCTTCTCATGGCGGTGGTTCATCGACCTCGCCGCCTTCCGCGAGCGACCCTACCTGGTCTACTGCGTCGCCATCTTCTTCAACAACCTCACTTTCTTTATCCCGAGCTACTACGTGCAGACGTATGCAACGGCGCACGGGATGCGCACCGCCTCGCTAGCCGTCTACCTCATCTCCATCATGAATGCTGCGACCATCCCGGGCCGCGTCCTCCCCTCTCTCGTGGCCGACCGCTTCGGCGCCATCGACACCTACGTCGCCGTCTGCGGTCTCAGCAGCGCCGCCATCTTCTACTGGACCAGCGTGCAAAACGCTGCGGGGAACATCGCCTTCGCCGTCCTGTGGGGGTTCTTCTCCGGCGCCGTCGTCGCCCTCGCCAACGTCGTCCTCACCGGCATCACACCCGATCTGACCCGCTTGGGTACCCGCATCGGCATGGCCTCCATCCTCAAGGGCGTCGGGTCACTCATCGGCCCGCCGATCTCGGGCGCGATATTCGGCGCCACCGGGGGCTACCTTGGCGTGCAGCTGTTTGCTGCGTTTGGCATGATGTTGACTTCGATTCTGATTCTGTCACTTCGTCTGGTCATCGCTCGGAACGAGCTACGACGACAGAGGGGTGGCTAGGAATACTACGGGTGATGCAGTTCTTGGATACCGTATACACTCGCATATACACCTTCTTGTTGATATGCCACTGTATTCGCGCAAACGTATATATAGTATATGCTGCTGAAACGTCTGATCGGCGTGCAAGCGTCAGCAGCTTCACGTCGAAGTGCATGCACTGCCATCGACGGTCAGGTATTTCGACGTCATGATGTCGCACACATTGATAATACGTGGCACAGCTCCCGTCTGTCGGTCACGCCCGGAAACTGTGGCGAAAACATCAAGATAAAAAAAGACACCACATGTTCTCTCTCTGTACGGAATACAAATACAGATTACATTACGAATGCTACGAACGCAACTAGTCGTTCTTATCAATGGCAAGTAGGCTCGTGAAAGATGCCAAAAATGGTTCAATAAAATAGGAGAAAAGGAGAAAAGCCTCGGGCCTGGTGGATGAACTGAAAGTTCTCTTCTTCTTGTTTCTTCTCGTTCTTTGTTTGTTCTTTGTGTGTGTGTGTGTGTGTGTGTGTAAAGGAATGAACGATCGCACTGTTTTCGACTCTTGCCGCACTGGGTCTTTTTTTTTTTTTATGTTAGTTGGCAGAGCAGGCAAAAAGCCCGCAAGGCACGGAATTGTCGGATAGGGGGCATATACATGATCATATTTCTGCCTAGTGGCCTGGTCGTACTTCTGGTACTTTTAGAAAGTTGCAAATAGATAATGAGCGCTCGTACTTACGAGCAACATTTCCCTGTTTCAACTGGAATCAGCTCATAGGACGGGAGAGGGGAACGGGTGGATGGATGGCGGCGACATCCGCCGACGTACGTACCGCATTCTCGCGAGGCGTGTAAATTACAGAGTCGTAGTAGAAACCTGAGGCTTCTAGAACCTGAGGCTTCCAAAACCTGAGGCTTCCAAAACCTGAGGCTTCAAAAATCTGAGGCTTCTAAATGTCTACGAGTACCAACTAGTACAAGTAGGACCAGCAACGGGTGAATAAGGGGACTGGGACGGGGACTTACTATACATAATATTACTCGTACGAGTAACCTGTACAGATTACAGATTAAATACTATTATTATGTGGCACATGTACATTCACATGTACTCACCCTACTGCCGCCAGTAGCCATCTAGCTGCTCTCCTATCAGCGCAAATGGTGGACTCATTAATAGGATACAGAGCGTCAGGACGTCAAGACGTCAGGCCACTTTTCCCCAGTGTAATCTATACAGAGTACCGTAGGTGGTTGCTGTACGAGTATGCTTGCGAGCAGCATGGAAGCCGTCCGCGGCAGAGCTATATCTAAGTACATACGAGCAATACATGTATACCAACGCCAATCTGTCGTTAGTATCACACCACGCGCGGATCATCAGTAATGATGATAATCAGTAACCTGTACGGATACTCTCTGTACGGGTACTCGTACGGCAAGTAATGCTCGCAGTTTACAAGTAGTTCTGGTGAAGAGGATGCACAGGGGGGGAGCCCCATTGCCGGCCTGGACCGTGAGCGGTAGGCAATAGGAGCAATAATAGCAATATTAGGCCACGGGGGTAATACCCCGTAATTCAACCCACCGGACAGCCAGTAGGAAGAGTGATGATCAGGCTGTCGCATCGAGGCGTGCACAGTGCGGTGTGACGGCGACTGTCTCTCGTCTTTCTCTCGTCCGTCAGAGTGGTGGTACCCGGTATGGAGTACGTACCTGCTGAGTCGATGTTATGCGCAGGCCCGAGGCTGCGAATCTTCCGTCGTAGGCTTCGTGAGTACGAAGAAGCAGTCCAGGTCAGGGGTGGAGGTCGGATGTACATGTACTGGAAGTTGTGGGGTCCAGACCACAGCAAGGACAAGTCACGGCTGCAGCAGCCTGCCCCAGATAGCCATGGGATGGACGACCGGGGTTGTTTTCAATGTTGGTCTGATCACGATGAAGCGTCCACGTACCCGGGGGTGATGCGCGTGTGAGCACTGAGGAGTCAGGGTTTGCTGTTCTCGTCATCAGCTGTGTTTTTGTGTGTCAGCTCGCAGTGAGAGTGACAGCAAGCCCGACGTGCCAGTAAGTTTCTTCTTCTCTGAAATGTCCGTTTAGGTTTGGTTGTCTTTCCGCCACAAACCTAGGAGAAGAGAGAGCCGGAAAGAGAGGGAGAGAGAGGGAGAGAGGAGAGGGAGAGAGAGGGAGAGAGAGGGAGAGGGGGGGGAGGGAAGGAGGAGAGGGGGGAGATCAATCTTGCTAAGCAAGGTCGAGTGTACTCGTACTCCGCGTGCGATCCATTGGAGTCTATCCTCGCTTATTCCTTTCGCGGGTGCCCTGTTCCACTAAAAGGGCCCCATCTACAGGGAAGTTGCCGCCCCAGCGAGTTACCCCGTCAGTGGTCAATGTGACCTGTATGAGTAGAGTAGGCTGTACAAGTAGGGTTTCTTTATTATAAAAATAAAAATAAAATAAAATAAAATAAGAGAGAGAGAGAGAGAGAGAGAAAGACAAAAAAAAAAACCCTACTCGTACATGTAGGATGTACGAATATCTAGCCGTACGAGTACATATAGCTCCGTGGACGGTAGGTTCTAAGATATAGCAGCTCCACAAGATGGATACATCATACACATGCACTACGACGTACTCTGTAGCTGTGGCCTGTAGGTAGGGACGCGCTAGCATTGAAGTGAAGATGAATCCACACACACTCGCTCAAGTCCGGTAAGCGTAAGTTGGAGATTGAAGATTGATTTCTTTTTCCTTCTCGCTCTTCTTATTCGCTAATTTGTCTTCTTTTTTTTTTCTCTCCCTCTTTTCTTTAATTTTTTATTCTTTTTATTTCACTTACCGGAGAGCAGTGTGGAAGAGTAATGCTGATATTATCTGAAATGGCAGACTTGTCAACTAGACTTGTCAGGTAGACTTCAATGTTGTCGTACTCGTCGACTTTAGGAGGCTCTTAAGGGTCCGTCTGACGTCCCCCACTCTGGAGACCTTGGCACTTTCTTTTTTTACCTCTCCCAGTGTTCTACTCCATAACAAAGTTCCCAATCCCGGGCCAACAAGCGGCTGTCTCACGTAGTCCGCCTCAAACCCACGTACCACCCCCCCCCCCCCCCGACCCCAAGGGCCCGTACACCCAGGCACACGACTCCTTTCCGCTTCCCTCTTTCCTTTTCCCTCCAGCATTCTTGCCATTTATCTTCCTCTCCCCCTCCTTCCCCCACACACCACACACACACACACACCACACACAGGACTCACATCACCCCTGCTGCCTTCAACACTCTCAGACAAAAGACTCTACCTGGCCCCCTTTCTTCTTCTTCTTCATATAGCAAGATGAGCCCCTTCGCCCAACTTGTTGCCTCCAAGGCTTGTAACGGCCTCTCGTAGGTCTAGTTACTATCTCTGCACTTCCCCCGGAGACTTGGTACTGCGTCCTCTCCAGAGGAGTGAACCCACCTCGCTTCTCTTACACACGCCATCACCTATACCACTCGACCTGAACAACGAAGCACACACGACACACGCACACAGACGACGTCTTTCACATCTTGGCTTACACGACGACCTGATAGGCTTCCTACTCATCAGTTCCTCACCATCCTCTTTTTTTTTTTTGCTCTCACCCAACCAAGAAACGGCGACACTAGTATCCAACTCAGCTACACCTGTCAGCCCTCTTTCCCTGATCCGCGCACGCACCACCACCAGTTCAGAGGAGGACATGTCTTCTTTGAACTATACCCCTTTCCAGGCAGAAGGGACAATGGCCTGGAATCGGAATTCGCGTTCGTACGGCGAGGAAACAGCACAACTGCCCGACGCCATGGAAACCACCACCACCACCACCACCAGCACATCTTCCACCACATCGAGCTTTCGTTCGCGTCACAGCTCCCTCAGCTCTGGTCGCCATTCGTACAACCTGCGCGATGCCGAGGAGGGTCGATGCCAGAATGCCAATGGCGGCTCTGACATTACCGAGGCCAGCTCCGTCACAAGCGAGAATGGTGAGAACCCCGACCCCTTCCGCATCGGCCCCTCGCTTCTCGTACTGACGCCGCAGATGTCCCAGTCGATGCTCCCAGTCCGGATCCAGACATGTTCCCCGATGCCCCCGCCGACGGGCGACCCGCCAATTTTGGCGTTGTCATTCCCGGTGTCTACCGCAGCGGCTATCCTACCAAGGACGACTTTAGCTACCTGCAGGGGCTGGAGCTGAAGACGGTAGTGTGAGTTCCATGCATATGCATACGAGCCTCTCTCGTCACCGCTCAATCGTCTAACCTTTTTTTCCCCCGACATCCAGGACCCTGGTGAAGAAAGATGAGCTGGACGATGGTCTGGGCGAGTTTGCAACGGAGAACGGCATCAACCAAATCATCTTCAACATCAAAGGCACCAAGAAGGAGGCCATTGCCCCCTCGGCCATGAGGATGATCCTCGAGGTGGTGCTCAACCCGAACAACTACCCGCTCCTGATCCACTGCAACCGCGGCAAGCACCGCACGGGCTGCGTCGTCGCCAGCATGCGCATGACGGCCGGCTGGGAGAACCACCACGCCCTGTCCGAGTACCGGGCTTACGCGGAACCGAAAGTGCGCGACTGCGACGTCGAGTACATTACCAACCTCGACGCCTCGCTGGTGCGCCCCAGACTCCTGCCGCTACCTCCGATGCCGGGCGCCATGGCCGTCGGCAACAATGACCAGCCACGCCTCGCGGTCACCCAGACGCGTGGCATCAAGCGCGCTGTCACCTTTGGGCTCATCGTGCTCGTGTGTCTCATTTCCGGACACAGGTTCATGGCTGGCTCTAGCTTGAGGGTACCATGACGCCCCGCGCAGACGCATACAACCTGCGGCCATCCTGCTACCGCTACTCTACTTCGCTTTCCTTTTGTTGCAGTCTTTTTGCTCTTCTTCTTTCTTGTCTAGTCTTGCGCAGGGTCTTGTATTGGGATAAACCAACAAAAAAAAAAGAAGGGAGGTTGTTGTTCAAGTGCTGAACTATCTCCAACGGGGTTTCAGGTCGGGCGTTTTTGTTTTTTTTTCTGGCTCTATTTTTTTCTCTTCTTATTCTTAATCTGTCTCCTCTGTCTCTGTCTAGCCAAGTACAGCAGGATGACCTTGGTATAACAGGATACTTTGTCAGCAATAAGAAGCTGTTTCCTGCTTTCTACGGTGTCTTGTGTTGTTCTGTTGCATCTACGTACCCTAGAGCTTTTTCATATCCATTTTCATTCTTTAATGGCACTCTTTTCTTCTTCTCTTCTTCCTTCTCCCTTTTTTCTTTCTTTTCAGTGTACCTTTAGAAGCGCATATATAATAGAAAGACATGAAACGTGGAAATTCACATGTGATTGTGGGTTCTTCTCTTTTGAATTTTACGTCTAATAGAAGAAGGCCTGTAAAAAAAAAAAAAAAGTTAAAAAAAAAAGAAGCATGGTTCTTCATACTATTACAAATTTCTCCTCTTTCAAAAAAAGTACCATTGTATATTCTTTATTTCTTTCTTTTGGTCTGCCGACAAAACAGGAATCACTGTCATATTTTCCCATCTCTAGGCAATATTGTACATTCGTGACGTTGATCTTACAGTAAACCTCGCAGCACCGCACTCCACCCCCCCCTTCCCGCCTCCCTTCTCTTGTCGTTTCTGCGACACAGCATCGCGTCGGGATTCACTCCTCCCACCTGTTCCTCTTGACCCTCTCCTCCTCATCGCGATCCCAGTCCCCGTGCAGGAACACCCAGCCTCCAGCGACGGCGTTGGCGACGCCCAGCCCGATAGCGGCGCCCCTGGTGAGACCCCTGGGGGAGAGGAACCGGGTGGCCACGCTGCGGCCGGCAGGCTTCCTCCTCAGGGCCATGAGGGCGTACAGGCCCGACCAGGCGGCCGATATGCCCGCCGCGCCGGTAGGGAAGCCGGCCAGGTTGACGTACGTGCTCAGGAACAAGGGCGGGGAGAAGAGGAGGAGGGGGAGGAGCTGACGTGGACGGGTGTGGAGGGCTATCACTAGGGTTGCAAGTGTTGATGAGGGGATTGCAGAAGCTTTTTTTTGTTTTTTTTTGTTTTTTTTTTGTTTTGCGTGTGTTAGTCTTTTATATATATATATATATATATAGATTTTCTTGAAAGAAAAAGATTTAGCCTCTCACGTGTATTGTGAGAGTGATAGTCATGGATATATGATAGATGATGATGGAACGTGAAAAGCGTTGACATGATGATGTGAGAAAGGAAAAAAAAAAATGGCTAATTACTTACACCCCCACGAATCAAGACGGTCGGCAAAAGTCGTCGTTTCGACATCTTCATCTTCAGACGCCATGATGGGTTTATGGATGTGACAATGGATCTTGGCTGGTCTTGGGCTAGAGAAAATTGGTTGTCGCGATGCAAAGCAGCCAGGAGAGGAAGGGAGAAAGAGAAAAAGACCAGAAAAAAAAAAAGACCGAAAAAAAAATAGAGGATAAATGAGTTTCGGCTGACGACATTTTCCGAACAATTCTTGCTAACTTACCCTGCATTGTCTCTGAGTCAGCCAAAGTTCAGAGGCTGCCTAGAAGGATGACATGCCTTGGGAAAAAACAAAACCCCCCACGTCATATCTCATGCTCTTCTCCACTCATCTTACACCAACGACCCCCATAAGGCTTTTACACAGGGCTGCATGGCTTCCCCCCCCCCCCCTTCTTTCGGAAAGGAGCCTGTATCATGGTGTATCACCAGTTCTGTTTTCCATCCTTGACCTTGCTCAGCCCTTCTCGTCTGTCTATTCACTGGGCTAGGCATATTAAAAGACACTTGCAGATGAGCAGCTGGCAGTGTAGTCGTCGAGCAGTGCGCTGACAATGGGAATCTGCATATATATATATATCTATTCATAACCACCTAATGCTAACGACGTGTGTTAGGTGAACATTGACAATGATGGAAAAAAAAACAGGAGGATAGAAGAATTCAATCATGAGAAGCCATTACGTTCGTTTCATCGTTATATATATATATATATATATATATATATTAAAACACCGGGGATAGAAAAGACAAACCCCTCAAGGCCAGTGATGCTGGTCACGCTGCTGATGAAAATATTCCTCATCATCACGATACTCAGACGCCATGTCATCGTACCAGCTCGGAGCCATGGAGTATTCAAAGTCGGACTGCTGCTGCTGCTGCTGCTGCTGCTGCTGCTGATGCGCCCACGAGTCGTCGTATACGCCCTGATGATGGTACTCAAAGCCCGTCAGAGGCTGCATGGACGAATACGACGGCATCGACACGGAGGCGGCAGCGGCAGCGGCAGCGGCAGAGGAAGAAGAAGGTGCGTATGCCGTGTAGGTAGGCTGATGGCCACCGTACGTGTAGGAGTCGGCCACGAAGGGCATTCTGCTGCTGCCGCTGCCGCTGCCGCTGCTGCCGGGGAGTGCCTGCGAGGGCGGATAGGTCCCGGGTTGCCGGGGGCCGGCAGGCTGTCTATGCTGGCGACCCACGCCAGAGGAGGAGGAGGAGGAGGAGGGCTCGCCTTCCCCGTGGTTGGAGTGGGAGTGGGAGTGGGAGTGGGGGTGTGAGCTCTGGCCGTGGTGGGATCTCCTGCCCCGGCGGGATGATCGTGGACTGGGTCGCGGATACTCGCATACGAGATTGTTGGAGCGGCACCGATAGCAGCCGTCCTCCTCACCGCTGCATCTCAGCTGTCTTGTATGTCAGTTCCTTCCCGTTTCCTGTCCCCGGCTTCTCCTCCTCATCCTCTTCTTTCCGGAGGGATTGGGATTGGGGTTGGGGTTGGGGTTGGGAGGCGTCGTTGAATCCTTGGTTCTTGTAGAGAAATAACCGCTAACCTTCTTCTCATGACATCGAGTGCAAGCTATGTGCTGGCTTGACTTTGCGCTCTCGGGATCATATGCCTGACGGATATTCTGGATCTGGTCCGTCTCAGAGTCATACTTGAAGGTATTGAACATCCTCTGATGTTGAATCTTTTTTTTTTTTTTTCGTCTATCTCCTCCTCAATGCAGTGAGTAGACTCAGAGCAATGGATGAGAAAGATGATGAGGAAGAGAAGGAGCTGAAAGGAGAAGAGAGAAGGGAAGAATGCCCATCGCTGTATCTTGTAGGCATCTCTCAAGCCCCGCGATAGGCAACAGTCGCTCAAGCCAAGACTTTCCTTCCCTCCCCCCCCCCCCCCCCCCCCAGTCGAGATGATTCATACAGCTCACCTGTTCTCTCCCCCTGTACGCCCTGTCACTCGAGGGGGAGGGGGAGGGGGGCATATGACCTCTTCTTTCCTCCGTCACCAAATCACCCCTGTCCCGCGATTGTTCCTTCATGGCTGTCATGGCTGTCTTTTGCATCTTGCAAGTAAGATTTTGGAGAAGGATCCACAGCAGGCTGGGCGTTGTTAGTTCGGTCACCCTACATGCAATGCATGCATACGTAATGCAATGCATGTTCATCTCACGCCGAGATGGACGGCGGATCTTTCTTTTTCATGGATATTTTATTTTATTTTAATTTTTTTTTCTTTCTTTTCGTTCCATGGTGAATCACTGCTGCTGTACTGGTCAAAGGGACACGGTATTCATTCGATATTGCATCTTGTCACAATTCTTCTTCTTCTCTTGTTGACTGTTGTCGATTCTCATCATACATGTCTAGAGAGTACTTGTATAGAGGATATCAATGTCAATAGAGTGCACCCGTCAACAAACACCGTACAGCATACGAGCACTGTGATGAGGCCCAGAGTAGGACGTGCGTTACCACGGTATAATGATGCAACCGTGCAAACCACCATGAGAGGGAAGACCGGGATGATGCGGTTCGTACTGCTAACAGCTAACGAGGACACCGCAGCCTTTGCCAGCGCTGCTCAAGAGCTTGCATGGATGCCTGGTTGCATGCGTGTACCGTCACTACTATGTACCGTCACTACTACTACTGCTACCGGCAGTAAGGCTAGGACCGGCAGTGTGGGATGTACGAGGGTGTACTGTCAGCCAGAAGAGACGTGGGAATGAGCCATGTTGTATGCCGAATAGAAGCTGTACTGCATGGCGTTTCGTGCATGCATGCATGCAGACATTGTTCCCGGCTTCCTCTACAGATTCCTCTTGCCACGCACTGGCTCTTCTCCGCATGGATTGTGTGAGGGAGGATCACGCACGTCACTGTCACTGCCACGGGCGCAACTTTCCCCCTCCCCCGTCTCATAACCAATCGTGAACCCGGCCTTCTTTCCAGAAGAACCCCATCTGGGGATATCACTTACATACGAGTACATACGTGCATGTACCTTGACCATTGCTGCCTTGCAATGAGCCCAGCATCCAGCACTGCCTGCCATGGTTACCACGAGGCGAAGGAGGGAAAGATGGGGGAAGAAAAAGAAACGGAACCGTGTGCATATTTAGTTCGGGAATTGTAATCTATATATGCTTCTGATAACTAGTCTATCAATCGCAGCCGTCGGACATGTCCTTTTTGTCGCCGGCCTACAGAAACAACAGAATGAGAGCCAGCAGTGATGAGCGCGTGCAAATCATTGGAAGAGCAAAAGAGTCGAGAAGAAGGAAGCAGAGGAAAAAAAAGCCGGTTACTCAAAGTCAGGGTCATGTGAGAGGATGAGCAGGAGGGAGAGAGAGAGAGAGAGAGAGAGAGAGAGAGAGAGAGAGAGAGAGAGAGAGGACTTAGTAATACCGGCTGCGCCTCTCCTCCCTGACCTCGAGACGTACGGCCCTCCTGGAGATGTCCCTGACGGGGATCCAGCGCCCCAGAGGCTCGTACGTGTGGTCGTCCCAGTGGACCACGACCTCGTACCGGGAGGATTCGGGGGCCAGGAACCCGATGATGTCCGACGTAGAGGTCGAGTGCGAGATGCCGACGCGGAATTCTGGCCCGTACCGGTGCCAGAGGGAGGACCCAGAGGCCCGGTTGTCGACGAGGATGCTGGTGGTCGTCGTAGCTGTGCTCCTGCCAGACGACGACATGTGTGGACCCCCCCCGCTGCGGTCAAGGCCGCAGCGGCCACATCGTCGGGAGGAGCGCCTCCTCGAGCCCCCGCCGTGGCGCACCTGGACATGAACCGAGCTTGAGACCAAGTGCGACGATGATGGCGGCGGAGGGGAGGAGCGGTAGTCATCGCATACGCAGATCCTCACGTCGCAGTGGCTCTCCTGAGGGCTGCGGTTGCGGCGGCCGCTGCTAGGTGGGTAGTAGGCAGTGCTGCCGTAGCTCACGATGTGGTCGTTGCGGACAGCGTAAGCCATTGCTGGGTTGGTTGGAGGGTGTCGTCGGTGTCGTCTGTGCTGGATCGCTGACGGTTGGATGATATGGTCGTAGAAGGGAAAACCTGCGAGTGTGAGACTGAGTGTGAGAGAAGATGAGAAGAGAGATGCCACAGCACGGCGCGGGAAGTCTTGCTATAAATGATTTTCCTGTCCTTCTCCTCCACCTGTCATCATATGTCAAGGTGAAGCAGCCGACTCGGCCAAGTGGCCTCGGACAGAGAACTCGGGATGGCGCAGGAGTTCCATCCAGACACACACAGTCCAGTTCAAGACAAGGACATCTTAGATGGCATAGCAGAGAATGAAAGAAAAAGAAAAGAAAAGAGACAAAGTGGAACAAAAAAAACACAGCCGCCGTCCGTTGTGAGCATGCCGGTCTTGCATAACATCTTTGTTTGAGAAGGCATGACAGCAAGGTAACAAAGGCTGTCGTGCCCGCCTGTCCGAGGCAACGAACCAGCGATGATGGACAAGGTCAGAGACGAACACACCGACAAGCTTTCATAGGATGGACAGAGACGTTGAACGAGTCTTAGGATCATCGGACTGTACGTCATGCACAAGGCAATGTACAGACGCGTACGAGAAGGGAGGCATCCTGTCGGTCGAGGATGACGGGTCGTTCCGGCCGGGCGCGTCGTCGGACCGTTCGTTATCGACTGCTTTCCTGCTCCGCCTTTCTTGGGTTCCTCCATCGAGGTCTGCCAGTAGCGTGTCAGAAGAGGGTTCCACCACCAGAACAGGGATGGCATTCACGCCGAAGAGGTTGAGAGAGTCGCCCCGTCATCTGGTCACGAGGAACGAGCATGTTGGTGGCCGATATACGACGGCAGGCCTGTGCTTCTGCCAAGTGGAAGGTGCATTTTGAGATGAGCGAAGGATGGAAGAAAGAGGTCGAAGCCGGTGGAAGGTGCCTACCTGATGGCCAGCATTGGCTGATGATGAGGTGATGCGATCAGTCTTGCCCTAGCAGACAGCGGCTTAGATGCGCACACATATACATGAAGACTGGTAATATCTTGAGGTCTACGGATAGATGATATATTCCCGCATGAACTTCATCTCATCAAGAGATTGAAGAAGATACGATGCAAGGCGGCCAGAAAGAGGTTATGGAAGATGCATACACACATGGACAGTGGTCGGAACACAGCTCAGTAAACAATCACTCAGTAGATGATACAGTACATACAGGGAGCACGGATACTCTGTACAGTGGGTAGGATCGCTGTAATCTGTAGATATCGCACCTTCCACCCCCAAAACACCGGATAGTGTGCCGGAACAACACTTTTCCCGACCCAGACAGTGCCATCGCATCTTGCTGACGGGCAGTTAGCGGCTTCCGCGTTACCTGAGCGTCCTATCAGTGTTCGCTAATTGGAGGTCCCCTCCCCCCCGGAGAGACCACTATTTTAACCCTGAGGGTCCTGGAGGGCCCTTGAACAGGACCAAGCTCAGTAATATTAGGCAATTGAGGCCAGATAAATTTGCCAGACCCCGGGAAACAGCCCTCATCAGCCCCCTCCCTTCTCTACACCTTCTCGTCGCTACGGTTCAGCACCCTCGTTCAAGATGGCTGGTATCAGCCCTCAGATGTACGTCGTTCTCTCCTCCCACAGCCCAGCGCATTCGCTGTGTATTACTGTTACTGCGCACACTGAAGAGACTGGAGACTGGAAATTATAATTTGAAAATCGTGAACGAGAATCAGGTCCGCTAACATGGACATACAACAGCACCAACCTCATCATCATGTTGGGAATGATGCAGGTGTCGAAGCGTGTCCCCTTTGACGACCCTTCGGTCCTCGACTTGATTCGCATCGGCTACGTTTCCAGCAATGTCATCATTGGCCTGATCTACGTCTACGTCCAATTCCAGATCAACAAGAAGAAGGGTATGGATCACCTGCCGGGAGCGGAGTAGGCGAAGGAGACGCTGATAAGTGGAACAGACATGACGACGCTCAAGTACGTCGAGCCCGCTCCCGTCGGCTCCAGCGAGGAGCCCAAGCTCGTCACCACGACCATCCACGCATATGACAGCCAGCAGGTCAAGACTGCCTTCCGCGGCCAGCTCATGGGTCTCGCCATGATGTCCTTCATGCACATCTACCTCCAGTACAACAACCCCCTCCTGATCCAGAGCATCATCCCCCTCAAGACGGCCCTCGAGAACAACCTTGTCAAGATCCACCTCTACGGCCAGCCGGCCTCTGGCGACCTCAAGCGCCCCTTCAAGTCCGGCGGCGGCTTCATGAGCGCCATGCAGGGTGGCGGTGTCCAGAGCGACAGGAAGGCCATCGAGACTGCCGAGAGGGCCGGCCGTGGCGGTGCCAAGGAGGAGTAAGGGACGCCCACAGCACGCAATATATGCATACCGAGAATACCACTGCTGGGTATCCTCCTGCATCACGGACGGACGGCATGGATGGGATGAATGCTACGGACAGGGGGGAAACGGCCCCGGAGTTTTGCGTGTACTGTACTACTATGATAGTGGACGAACCTCTGAACCTCTTTGTTGGATGAGGGCGGAAAATAAGACGTGATGTTAGGAGGCTTGGCCGACGTGCTGTTATCCTTGTATATCGAACGAGTTCATCCGAATGTCCACCGGAACATCTCAAGTAACACCGCACTCAGTAGAAGCAGAAGGCGAACATTGGTAATGGCGATTTTGGTTTTAGTAGCTGCCGACAAAATCTGGGCCCTCCCGATGATGGTGCGCTCTGATCTGGCATGACATCAGCAACAACTATTGCCCCTCCACCCGAACCATGAATTTTTTTCTTCTCACGAAACGGAGCCCAGACAAATTTCACCGAGAACAACACCTCGTACCCATCACTACGCTACGACGACGACGACGACGACGACCCCGTCACAGCCCAAAGACAAGACCTCCTGAAACCGCCTCAACGGGCACAAGAAAGGAGGGAGGTAGGCAGGACCAACAATGGAGGAGCACACGACACCGCACGGGCGCGATGCATCATCGACGACACTGTCGCCCGAGACGAAGAAGCGCATCGTAAGCAGGTTCCACCCCTCTGGGAGGAAATGAAAAAAAGGAAGGAAATAGAGAATCGAGGGAAAATATAGGCGAAATAGAGAGAGAGAGGGAGAGAGAGAGAGGGGGGGGGAGAGAGAATAGAAATAGAAACAATGTAAGAGTGGATATTAAGTTGTAGTCGAGATAAAAGGGGGAGAGAGGAAGAAAAACTTCTCGTTTCTCAATCCTTCCTCCCCCAAGATATATATTTCGCCCCCAACACGTTCCCCACATTGACCGTACAAACTGTCGAGCGGTCTTACAAGCCGATCCTAAATAACGTCGGTGGATTGTAGCATTTCCCCGTGGGGGATAAGTAGTATTCCGGTGTTACTTCGAACCACAATGCCGGATGCGGATCGTCCGTCCAATTGTGCTGGGCACGGTGGATCTGGGGTAATTGTGCTGTTGAGGTCTGCCGAGCAGCTGCAGATCGGACTTTTATCATCTTTCTCCGACCCCTCCCCGCTCCCCCCGCTCCCCCCGCTCCCCCGCTCCCCCGCTTTCCCCCCCGCTCTTCGGAGAAAGTCCATCTCTTGTCCGACCCATGCCGACCTTCCCCTCATCAAGATATCCAATCGACTTTCACGCCCACCCACTCGTCAGCGTACGACGATGTCATCTCGTCGGGTTTTCTTCCCGAGGGGAGGGGAGCCCGTCAACTTCTTCGTCTGCGCGTAAAGGGGGCGTGACATGATGTTGGGCCGAAAGGTTCAAAAGGGGGCGTCTTGGTCCTCTTTTGCTTCTCTCATCTGGTTTCTCCGTATCATTCATTATTCTCAACATCTTCCTTCTTTTATTTCTTCTCTTCTTCTCCGAGAAGAGCGAACCACGCACAGAAGAAAAAAAACAGAAGAAAAAAAGGGAAGAGAAAAGAAAGGAAAACCCCTCCAATCTATCTCTCATAAAACACACACACGATGGCTCCCCAGAGAGAGCGTATCCCCACCCAATGGACCCTGAAGGGTCCCCAAGACGACAGCCCCTCCGTCAAGCTCACGGGCAGTGATAAGGACCTCTCCTTCGACTTTACATTCGAGACGATCCGTCCCAATGTCTTCAGGACAAGGTTCACGTCGGAAAAGTATCCGATCCCACCCTTCCCCAGCATCCCCGAACCCAAGCACGACCTCTCGTCCGGACCCAAGCCCGTGGTGACGAGTGCTGGGCAGATCAAGACGATCGCGATTGGCGACTTTGAGGCCTCGGTCGACTGGGAGACGTCGACGACGCCGGTCGTGTCCGTCTCCCACAGAAGTGGCGGCGGCGACGGCGCGGAGGCGGAGAAGAAGGACAGGAAGCCGCTGCACACCGACATCCCGAACCGGTCGTACACGGCCAACGGCGACGGCATCGCCCACTTCACCCGCTACAACCGCGGCACCCTCCACGTCGGGCTGGGCGAGAAGGCGGCGCCCATGGACCTCTCGGGCCGCAAGTTCGACCTGGCCGCCACCGACAGCTTCGGGTACGACGTGTACCGCACGGACCCGCTCTACAAGAACATCCCGCTGCTCATCAACGCCACGCCCGACGGCTGCGTAGCCACCTTCTCGACCATGCAGGGCCGGGGCAGCTACTCGGTCGGGTCCGAGATGGACGGCATGTGGGGCTTCTACAAGGTGTACCGCCAGGACTACGGCGGCCTGGACGAGTACATCATCGTCGGCCGTACGCTGCGGGACGTGGTGTCGACGTACGCCCAGCTCGCCGGCTTCCCGCTCCTCGTCCCCCGCTGGGCCATGGGCTACATCTCGGGCGGCTACAAGTACTCGATGCTCGACTCCCCGCCGGCCAACGAGGCGCTGCTCGAGGTGGCGCAGAAGCTGCGCGAGAACGACATACCCTGCTCGGCCCACCAGATGTCGTCGGGCTACCACGTCAGCCACGAGCCGCCCAAGTCGCGCCACGTCTTCCACTGGAACCGCTACCGCTTCCCCGACCCGGAGGCCTTCCTGGCCGAGTACCGCCGCCAGGGCATCCGCGTCATCGCCAACATGAAGCCGTACGTGCTCAAGTCGCACCCGGAGCACCAGAAGCTCGCCGACGCCGGGGCCTTCTTCACCGACCCCATCACCGGCACCTACGGCGAGACCCCGCTGTGGAGCGCCGGCGGCGGCACCAGCAGCATGGGCAGCCACATCGACTTCACCTCGGCCGCCGGCTTCAAGTGGTGGTACGACGGTGTGCGCCGCATGTGCGAGCAGGGCGTGGCCTGCATGTGGAACGACAACAACGAGTACACAATCACCAGCGACGACTGGCGCCTCCGCCTGGACCTGGACCTGCCCGGCATCGCCGCCGCCGGCGCCGACGACAGCTCCGCGGCCGCCCGGGCCAGGCCCGACGTCGGCCTCTGGGGCCGTTACATGCACACGGAGCTGCACGGCAAGGCATCGCACGACGCCATGGTGGACCACGACCCGGACACGCGGCCCTTCGTCCTGACGCGCGGCGCCACGGCGGGCACCATGCGCTACGCCGCCAGCACCTGGAGCGGCGACAACATCACCAGCTGGGACGGCATGAAGGGCGCCAACGCCCTCTCCCTCAACGCCGGCATGTCCCTGATTCACTGCTACGGCCACGACATCGGCGGCTTCGAGGGCGAGCAGCCTTCGCCCGAGCTCCTCCTCCGCTGGGTCCAGCTCGGCTGCCACTCGCCCCGCTTCGCCATCAACTGCTTCAAGACGGGCAACGACAGCACCGTCGGCGACGTCATCGAGCCCTGGATGTACCCCGCCATCACCCCCCACGTCCGCTCCGCCATCAAGCGCCGCTACGAGATGATACCCTACATCTACTCCCTCATGCTGGAGGGCCACCTCACCGCCGTGCCGCCCCAGCGCTGGACCGGGTGGGGCTACGAGTCCGACCCGGTCGTGTGGACGTCGGACGTCACCAACGGCGAGACCCAGTACTGGCTTGGAGGCTCCCTCCTCGTCGGCGGCGTCTACGAGCCCGGCGTCAACCGGTCGAGGGTCTACCTCCCCAAGGGGTCCGACCAGGACGACGGCTACATCAACATCAACGCCCCCTTCCAGCATATCCCCGCTGGCCAGTGGGCCGACATCGACGCCGAGTGGCACGGCGCCGGCATCCCCCTGCTCGCCAAGGTCGGCACCGTCATCCCCGTCGGCCGCGACGTCCAGGTCCTCAGCGCCGGGGAGAAGGATAACGTCGCCTCCCTCCCCCTGGATGACTACCGCGCCGTCGAGATCTTCCCCCCTCCCACCTCGTCCGCCGGGAAGTGGTACGCCGACTCGTGGTACGAGGACGACGGCGTCAGCTCCGTGCAGAAGAACAGGATCTCCCAGTACAAGTTCTCCTACACGGCCACAGACGACAAGGTCACCGTCAAGTTTGACAGGGACGAATCGTCCGGCTTCGTGGCTCCCTGGAAGACCCTCGTCGTCATCCTCCCCGCCGGAGACGACAGGGTCGTCACCAGCGACGGGGCCAAGGTGACCGAGCTGGCCAAGGATGTCAAGGGCAGGAGACGCTTCGAGCTGTCTTGATCTCATGTAGTGCACGTCTTGCTTGGGGTGGAAAGGGAAAGTAAAAAATAGAAAAAAAAATAGGATAAATAGGACATTACCGGTTGCATGGAATGAATGATGCATTATTAAATATAAATATATAAATATATAAATATATATATATCCCGGGGGATTGACTATTATTATACATGTTCAGATAATCTCGACAATTCATCTCACGTCTTCTCCCCCCCTAAATGTCAACTGTCACCTTCTTCTGAATTCCACGGCAGACCGAATAGATCCTCTCCTCCGATGAGGGAACTCCTCAAGAAGTCATCCAACCAGCCTGCGTCGGTCGTCGGCGAGGAAAATAGCGTCAGCCCTGGGAAGTCCCACTCGAAGACAAACTGCTCAGGTACAAACGACTCGAGCTCGTTGTGGTCCCCCGGCGCCCGTGGCGGTTGCTGCTGCTGCTGCTGCGCTCCTCCTGATGTCGGAGTGTTGGCCCCCGTGTCGGTGGTATGGAGGGCCACGTTCTCGTGTAGGACTGTGCGGCTGAACTTCTCGATTCCTGTCTGCAGGAGCTGGAGATACACCCGGCCCGTGTTGGCGCGGCTGCGCTGGCCGCTTCTGGCCGCACCTCCTCCGTTCCCGCTCCCGCTCCCGCTCCCGCTCCCGTTCCCGTTCCCGCTAGAGGCTTGCAGCTCGGCGAGGAGGATCTGACCGACGCCGATGAGTCTGCGGCTGGCTGCCTCGTCCTCGTCACCGAGAAGCATGGAGAGCTTCATGGTCAGGAGGAAGCAGAAGGCACATTTGGCCCAGACAAAGTCCATTGCGAAGCGCAGATTGCGCAGGTAATCGCGCGGCTCCTCGATGATGATCTGCAGATGCTGCTTGAGCGCGCCCTTGGCCATGCGGAGGATGTGCCGCTGCGTGGGGGACATGGCGTCGACGTTCTCGATGCCCGACACCCGGACGGAGCGGCACAGGGCCATGGTGACGGCCCAGCAGCGCTGGATGCGCAGCTGCTGGCTGAGCCAGCGCTTCTGCTGGGAGGGGGCGCGCTCGAAGATGCGCAGCCAGTCGTTGAACCACACGTCAATGTCGATCTGGGCGTCCCGCACAACCTCCATGATCTCGTCGTCCGAGTGGCTGCAGTGGTTCGACAGGGAGGCCTGCGAGCTGGCCCGGAGAACGTTGAGCTCGACCTGAGAGATGAGGTGGAGGTCTAGGTCGGTGGACAGCGAGCTCTCGAGCAGGACCCTGACTCTCCGCACGTCGCCGCGGAACTTGAAGGTGAGCAGGTCTCCTGCGTCGACGTGGAGGATGTGGCCGAGGTTGAGGAGGTGGAGCCACGTCCGCGTCTTGCGCAGCATGTTCTCCTCGTCCGCCAGATTCGACCCGGAGCCGGAGGACAGGGGCAGGTAGCTCGTGCTCATCTCATCGTACGCCTCGGGGAGGCCGGCCTCGATAGCCAGGCGAGCGGCCAGGGTGACGAGGAGCGATCGTTCCGACACGTAGCAAGCCCGGACGAGCAGTGCCTGTATCACCTCCAGGGACCTGTCCGAGGTGCCGATGACGGCGTTGAGAAGTATCTTGAGATGAAAGTTGAGCTGATGCCAGGAGTTGGAGTCGCTCCCCCTGAGTATGCGACAGCCGGTGGCGCAGATGGTGCTGAACAGGACACCGCTCCGGCTGCGGATGCTCTCGATGGAGTCGAACTGCGGGTCGAAGATGGGCACGTACTGGTGGCATCCCTGGAAGAAGGTGTTGAAGTACTGCTCGGCGTCCTCTACAGATACCAGCCCGGTCGAGACGAAGTCGGGCGCAGACACGGGCTGTATCTCGAAATGAGACCGCTTTCTCTTGCCGGTAGCGGCCGGAAAGGGGTGGAAGGAACCGACGGTGGCAGGGCTCGTGCTGGTCTGGATCTGGGACTGCGTAAAGGTGGTGGGCGACGGTCCCTGGAGGGGGTTCGACGGCGCCATCCACGAGCCCGTCGCGGTGTTGGGGGCCGGAGTCAGCTCGCTGGAGAAGGCGTCCATCTGGCCACCGACGGAGGAGTCGGTGCCGACGGAGCTCTGGTGGGGTACGGAGGAGACTGCATGCAGCTGGGACCGGAGAGAGTCGAGCTCCTTTTCCAGAGTCTCGATTTTCCTGAAGAGAGAGAGAGAGGGGAAGACGGGGACAGAGTCAGTCGGGGGAGGGGAGAGGGAAGGGGAGATACCCTACTAGCAGCGAGGCAAGCAGATAGGAAGAGATGTCAGGACGTTGGCCTCTTACCTCTCTCTCGCATCTCGTGGCGGCTCCTCGAATGTGCACGTCTTCTTGAGAGATTGGCATCTGCCCCCCCAAAAGGTCAGAGATGATGCTGCTTCAGCCAGCCGAGAGTGAGTCGGATATGCATACCGAGAACATGGTCTTTGGCCATCACATTTGACCTAGGGGATCCAAGCTGGAATTAGGGAAATGTCATACAGAACGAGGTTGGGATCTCGCAGAAGGGCGAGAAGGCAGACCTTTGAATGGCGACAGGCACCGCAGGCTTTCTAGGAGAGGTCGTCAGCCGAGATGTCGGGTGATGCAGGATAGGGATAGGGTAAAGGGGGGACTCTGCATACTGGGATGCGTTTCTTGCGCGCCTTGGTGGGCGGGGGCGTACCTGACGGCTCATCCATTACGAGGGGTGAGGCATTTGCTGGGAATGACGGACATGTCCAAGGATGCAGAGATGTGCATCTGGGTGTTGCGACTGCGTAGAAGCGACCGTGAAGAGCGACGGGTGAAGGGCGATATAGGGCCCCTCGGTCAGACTTGATCCGAAGAAACCATCACGTAGTGTACTGACTCGTACCGCTGCTGAGTACTTGCACGGAGTATATGTAGTACTGGTACAGTACAGAAACGTGGGGTGTTTGGTGGTGTGGGGGAAACTTGGAGAGCTGGTCGGAGAAAAGAGAGAAAAGACCGACGACCACTTCCGTATCTTAATTTGGTGCGGAGTCTCGATGCGGGGAAGGAGCCAGTTGAGGAGCGGCCGCACTCGCCGTTGCCAGAGAAGAAGAGGGGAGGAGAGGGGAGGAGAGGGGAAAGTAAGAGGAGTCAGTGGAGATGTTTAGCCAGTCCCCAGCCGAGTCCGGTCTGGTCCAGTCTGGTCCAGTCAGGTGCCTAGTCTGATCCGGTCCGGCCCTCGTGGAGGAATTGATGATTGATGACTGAGGCTGGTGATGATGACTGAGGCTGGTGATGATGACTGAGGCTGGTGATGATGACTGAGGCTGGTGATGATGACTGAGGCTGGTGATGATGACTGAGGCTGGTGCAGAGCGGAAAAAAAAAAAAGAGAAAAAAAAAAGGGGGGCCGAGGAAGGATATGTGGCTTGGACTTTTCATGTGTGTGGTGTGTGTGTGTGTATCCTTATGCTCATCTGTCTGCCAAGCTCTCACATCCTTTTTTTTCTCTTCTTTTCCGCCAGAACCAATGACGGAGAGAGATGCGATGCAGTATCCGTGTAGGCTGCATGCATCATCAGACGGGTGACGGGGCGTGACTAAAGGGGTACGACGTATTCGTACGTACCAGCGGATGGATGTACCTACCTACTGCCAATACTATACTCTGCTGATACTGAACCATATATACTACGAAGTACGGATACTGCTGGTCTGTATTACTGTGTGCATGATTTCATGTCACGATACAAGGTATATGTACATCGATACCGTTCTCAGGCGCTCTGCGCGTAACAGGCCAAGGCCGCATGCGACTGATGGACGCGAACGCACCAACAAACTTGTCCGTACCACTCACCTACTCCCCTACTCCGTACAGTTAAGTAGTACTGCTGAGTAACAGTCAATATTACTGCCGGCAACCAATACTCGGCATAATACTCTTGACAATAGTATCGGGGAACATGTCGTTATGATAAGTACTGTTTCGAAGAGACGGACAACAAAGGATCTCCCCCCCTCTTCCCCTCCATCTTTCTCTCCTCCCCCCCCCCCCCCCCCCCCCCCCCCCCCCCCCCCCCCCCCCCCCCCCTTCTTCCTTCCCCTTTTACTTCTAATACCCTCCTTCCTTCCCCTCTCCTCCTTCCCTTCTTCCTTCCCACCTTTTATTGTTATTTTTGCCCCCCCCCCCCCCCCCCCCCCCCCCCCCCTCCTCCCCCCCTTCCCCCTCTCTCCTTCCCTCTTCCCCTCTCATAATCATACATAATAATAAATACCTCTATACTCAGACGAAATCTCTCTCTGCATCATCAAGAAGAAGAAGAAGAAGAAGAAGAAAAAGAGAGAGGCAAGACAAAGAGAGAGAGAAAAAAAGACACAACATGATCCCCCGCCTCGCAACGTTAGAAGACCTCCCGGCGGTGGTCAAGGTCATACTGGCCGCCATCAACAAGGAACGTCTGTGGACAAACTTTGTCCCCTCCAAGAGCGGTCAGGACCAGGCATATCTTGACGAGATCGAGTCCCTCCTCAGGAAGCACCTGGATCCTTCCAATAAGGATTGGGTCATTGAGGTGATTGATCTGGGAGGTGATGGTAGCAAGCGCCCATCCAAGATTGTCTCTGTCGCCATCTGGGATATGTCTGCATCTAAAGAGGGAGATAAGAAGGGTGAGTTTCTCTTTTCTTACATCTCCAGTATAAATCTTTTTCTTGGGGTGGGGGGTTTCGTGTCCTTTCCTCCCTCCCTCTCTTTCTCTCTCTCTCTCTCTCTCTCTCTCTCTATATATATATATATATGTATATATATATGCGTGTGTGTGACTCACTCTCACGTCGACAAGTCTCTGACGCGTACTGTTAGAAGATCAAGTCAAGACCGCGGTCAGCGACTCCCGTCTCAACGCCTACGCAGAGGTGGTGGACAAGGCTCGTCGCGAATTCTTCAACCGCTACCAGACCTACACGTACCTCCAGCTCCTCGCCACCCACCCAGATTATCAGAACAAGGGTTACGCAAAGGACCTGGTTCACTCGTACATCACCCGCGCCAGGCAGCAGGTGGGCGGGGATGTCCTCACTGCCCTCGGCGGCCCGTTCGGCTACATCTTCTTCAGCGGCATCAACTTTAACGATCTGGGCCCCGTCAGCTTACCCCCCAGCAGCGCCAGCGACGCTCAGATCATAAAGGCCATGTCTCTCGTCGTCCCGAAGGAGGAGAGGAAGAGATCTATTGTCGACTCGGTCATAAACTATATTTCGAGCTGAGGTTCAGCGTCGGATTCAATGTCATGATGTGAGATTCAGTATCAGAGAGTTGAAAGTCCTTTTTTATATATATCATGATTACAATTTTTTTTAAAAAAAAAATACTTGAAATTTTTTTTTTGCTTCTTTTATATATCTCGTAACGCGTTATCCATATACCACCACATTCCCCCTTCTTCTTCCTCCTTTTTTCTGTTCCTTCATCATTATCTGTTGCGATGTGACATTTCATTAAGCATTTAAGCATCATCGTTAAGCTTTTTTTTTTTTGCGGTCCCCTAAAGAGGGGTAGCCCACGCTTTTTTTCCTCTTTTTTTTTCTTTTTCTTTTTTTCTTGGGAGGGGGGGAGTCAACGCCTAAAGGGCACTTTTGACAACTTGAACGCATCTTTTTCTGCCAAGAAGGAGTTTTTTTTTTTTTTTCCCTTCCTTTTTTTTCTTCTCCCCCGTCTTCTTCTTTCTCTTCTCTCCTTGTTCAAGCCGGAGAACGTCAATCATCACCAATGACACATGTACGGATGAAACGTCATTTTTCCTCTTCTTCTTCTCTTTTTTACCTGTAATAATACCTATCATACACGGACCTCTATAACACGGGTCCGATATGCGATCCACTTTTTCACATCATGTACTCGTATTTCTTTCTTTTTTTTCCCCTTCTCGTACAAGTTTAGCCTCCGTTCCGGGGCGGAGTCCGCCGTGATATGATTATCCGACATTCATCATCATTCGAGTTTGTTCATACGTTAGTTACTATAGCATTGCCCACCCTACCATTCATATACCCCCCCTTCCCCTCCCTTTATATATATACCGAGATAAGAGATAGTAAAGAAAAAAGGTCGAAACAAGAATCAAGGTTTTCTCTCTTTTTTTTTTTTTCTTGGCTTCAACAGAATAGAGAAGAATCACCGCCAACTTAACCAACTCTTCCCCCCCCCCTTCTTCCCCTCATCATCCTCGAGACGGAACCCGCTCCCGAGCATGCTAGCAAGCGACTCATCCTCTGCGGCCTCCTGGCGAGGCGCGAAGAAGTTCTGCTTGGCGAACTCGACGCCGGCCGCTGCCGAAGCGGCGGTCTGGTGCTGCCGCATGTCGTACCCCGCTCTCCTGAACGGGGCCTGGCTCTCGTTCTCCTTCTCAGCCGAGCTGGAGGCCGAAGGCCAGAACGCAGGCTGGTTGGGGGGGTTGCGCAGTCGTCGGGCGGGGTGCACGGGTGCGGGGGGGGTGCGGTAGTAGAACGGACCGCTGCCCTCGTGGGTCGGCGCCTGGCCGAACCGTCTGTGCGTCGGGGACGGTGCATCCTTCAGGGCGCGGGGGAGGATCTGCGGTGCCGTCGGGGTCCAGTCCATCTCGTCTGGCTGTGATGCTTGCGGAGACGTCCGTGACGACGGTCGCCCCGGGGTGAATTGGTAGTCGTGGTAGAGCTCGTCTGTCCATGTCGGCGTTGACGCACCGACGGTGCTGGTGGTGGTGGTGGTGGGGTCGGTGGTGGGGTCGGGTAGGACCTCGTCTAGCGTCTCAGCAAGACTCCTGGGCTGCTGCTGCTGCTGCTGCTGCTGCCGTCGCTTGGGAGGTGTGGTCGCCGCTGGCGGCTGGTGAGCCGGAGACGGCGACGACGACGTCATCCGAGACGGGGAGACGGTCCTGCTGTGCGGACCGAACAGCGGTCTCGTGTCCGTCTTGATGGACCGTCTGGCCACGGAGGCGGATATGACGGCCAGGAGGGCCATGGCTCCGTGCGCGCTCAGCTGGGCGCTCCTAGCCTGGCCGGACAGATCGGTCCTGCTCACGGCCAGCCGGGCGGCCACCGCGACGGCCTGGACAAGGTACCACTGCCTGAGGCCCGACAGCTGCCGCGTGAAGCCGCGCGTCACCTGGGGGAACTTTGGATTCCACCACGCCGAGGCCAGGGACGCCGCGACGCTGGCGCGCAGCAGCGCCCGCTCGTCCCCGTCGGGCGGCAGACGGCGGCGGAGCTCAGCGGTGAAGGCCGCCGCGGCTGCCGTCGCCGTCGCCGCCCATGCGCCGCCGTCACCGCCGTCGTCGTCCGGATCTCTCATGCCGCTCTCGTCCTCCCCCGGCGTCGAGAGCAGGCCAGCCACGGCGCCGACGTGCCAGAGCAGCTGCAGCGCCAGGGCGCCCCACCACGCCGTCCGGGCCAGCAGGTCGACCCACTCAAGCCAGGTACGGGATACGACGGCACGGCGGCGCGGCGCGGACCGCTGCCTCCGCCCCAGCTCCATCATCTTGCGCAGGTGGTCCGTCTTGGCCGTGTACTCGGCGCGCTGGATGGCCTCGCCGGCCGCTGCCTCGCACGACCCGCACACCTGCGGGTAGCGCTTCTCCAGCCGGCGACGGAACCGGTAGTACTCGCGGTCCAGCTGGATGTCGTCCTGGTCGCCGTTGCTAGGCGCGTACTGCGCCAGGGAGGCCATGAAGAGCCGCTGATTCTTGAGGCATGTGTCGCAGAAGATGGGGCGTGACGGCGTCGACAATGACGATGGTGACGTCGACAGCGGCTTGATCGTCGCCGGCATCGTTGCCGTCGGGGCTACATATTCGGTCGCGACGGGGGGGTCCGTAATCTCTCCATTCTTGAGGGGTGATCGGTCAGTATAGTATAAGAGAGAGGGAGAGGGAGAGAGAGAGAGAGAGGAAGAGAGAGGAAGAGAGAGGAAGAGAGAGGAAGAGAGGAGAGAGAAGAGATCATACCTGATCCAGATAGTTCGTCGCATCGCAATACTGGCAGGTAAACTGGCGCGTGACGCCATCGAAGCGCGTGCCAGATCGCTTGCCGCAGTAGAAGCACGACAGATACCTCGCCCGTAACCGAGGCATTCTATTCCTCCGCCACTACTTGAATTGCAGGGGCGATTCCTTGCTTTTGCCCTGATGGGCGGGTTCTCTCTGCGTGGCGGAGTGGGGGAGAGGAGGATGTCTTGCGTGCGTGCGTATGTGTGTGTGTGTGTGATGATGGTGGAGGAAGAAGCATCCAGAATTCTGCCCAGAGCGGTAAGGTATTGATGCAGCAGGAAGCCGCTTATCCTAGCAGTGCCCTACGGTGGTCCCTCCCCCCAATTTACAGGGGTCTCTCAGCTCCAACGTAAACTTGTAAGTGCGTGTGACGCTGCCCAGGCGTCTGCCCTTAGATGCCAGGCGCCAGGTCTCCAGCACCCCTGAGCAGATAAGATGCAGGTCGCCAAGATATCATATGCCCCAAGGTGCCAGCGTCTCGCCTCTGGACAACGTATGATAATATAATCGGTATATCGATGTGCACTTCGACTCCGGGAGCGGCGTATCGCTATCGAGCTTGCTAGGTATCCGCTTCTCTGGGGAAGAAGATGACCGCCGAACGTAGCAAATCGCAGCTGTGGCTGGCGGGCCAGGTGGCCATGCCATCATCGCAGACGACAGGCTGAGGGTCATCGGCCAACGTGTCTGGGCGAACCGTCAGGGACAGTTGGGAACACTTTGGGTCCCGAAAATCCCTAGAGCTTCTTTGATGCCTCCCTTCATCAGAACCCCATGGCTCGTCCTAACAGAGACAGACTCTTTCATCCGTCTGTTGGATAGCCTTTCTTCTTCTTTCATACTCGTACATTCATTGCTATATGAAATGGGGTATATACTACTACTTATACGATGCTAAAGATGCTTTTTTTTGATATCCTTTTCTTTTTTCTTTGTGTGTGCGTGTGTGTGTGCGTGTGATGGATTCCCGACTACAACGCCGTACCAGGCCCCTTCCCCCTCGCCAGATTCACCAAGCTCACCTCGTCACTGTCGGTCACCTGGACCTGGTAGGTCTTGTTGTGGAAGATGATGCCCGAGTTGGAATCTATGCTGGCACCTTCGTCGGCCGCATTGCTACCCGGCTGGGAGCGGGCGTCTCCTCCCCCGCCACCGGCCGAGACGTGGACCGAGTGGCTGGCGCCGGCGATGGAGCCGCCCCCGACGGAGGGGCCGCCGCGGTGTCCGCTGTGGTAGTCCTTCTGGTAGTACGCGGCATGTCGGTTGGAGGTGCCGCCGAGGACGGGAAACATCTTGACGAGCAGGAGGCGCACGGCGGGCAGGCAGGCGCAGATGACGGCGACGCTGACCTCGACATCGGACCAGAGCGATACGTCGTAGAATTGCCAGGTGGGGTTGTCCGTCTTGGAGAAGTAGATGAGCGATCGGAGACGGAGGATGGAGACGACCGTGACGCTGTAGGCGTAACGGTGTGTCAGTATACATGTTTCGACACTGCCTTCGGAGGGTGCCGTGCCATCTCTCGTCTTCGGCAAAGTTGGCGAGGATGGGCAGACAGAGTGCAGGAAAAAAGAGAGAGGGAGATGGGGAGAGAGAGAGAGAGAGAGGGAGGGAGATGGGGAGAGAGAGAGAGAGAGAGAGAGAGAGAAGAAGAAGGAAACTGAACCAAGTGGATCTAAAGTGGCAATGATTGGGACAATACGCCCGTCATTTCATGACCCCTGTCAA